ACTGAGCCATCTCCCTGGCCCCTATTTTAGTATACTTTCTTATAAAATGTCTGACTTCCTTTCAATATTTGTCTTTTGCAAGCTTTCTTCAGCCTATAATCCTAGCACTCGGTGAGGAGGCTGAAGCAGGGTGATTGCCTAAAGCAGAAGGCCAGCCTGGGATAAATAGCAAGTTCAAGACCAGCCTGAATGAATAACATAGTGAGATCCTATCTCAGAGAAAAAAATTATTATGATACCTAGATAAAAAAAATTCCTAGGCCACAGCAGCCATTGAAAAAGAGGAGCCCTCCTCTCAGCTTTCCTCAGCCAGGGCCCTCCGCTGTCCCATGGCCGTGGGCCTCAACAAGGGCCACAAGGTGACCAAGGATGTGAGCAAACCGAGGCGCAGCCGCCGCCGCGGACGTCTCACCAAACACACCAAGTTCATGCGGGACACGATCCGGGAGGTGTGCGGCTTTGTCCCCTGCGAGCGGCACACCATGGAGCTGCCCAAGGTCTCCAAGGACAAGCGCGCCCTCAAGTTCATGAAGAAAAGGCTGGGGACACACATCCCTGCCAAGAGGAAGCGTGAGGAGCTGAGCAACGTGCTGGCCGCCATGAGGAAGGCAGCTGCCAAGAAGGACTGAGCGCCTCCGGAACAAAGCTTTGCAGGAAAAAAAACAAAATTCCTAGAAGAAAAGCCCATGGAACAGAACACAGAATACAGTTCCAGCCACTGTTCTCAGTTTTAGTGAATCCAGACTTGTTACACAGTTTCCTACTTGTTTTTTGTTTTGTTTTTTTTTTTGGTACTGGGGATCTCAGGACCTAGTACTTGCCAGGCAAGCACTTATGCCACTGAGCTGCATCCCTGGCAAGATTCACAAATGTAAAAAAAGAAAAGAAAAAAAAAAAGGAGGAGAGGGATAAAAGAAATTGACGATGAAAATACGTGAATTGTATTTCTGTGTGACAGCTAAATGATCAGAAGAAAAAGAAAAATGACAACTTTTTGCTCAGTGCTGGAAGACTAAAGAAAGCAGAGTGAAAACCCATGCATAAATCTCTGGAGGTGTATGACCTTTGTGACAGGCAGTATGGCAAGAAATATATCAAAAACTCTAAGGGGCTGGAGAGATGGCTCAGTGGACTAAGCGCTTCCCTGACAAGCGCAACGGCCTGAGTT